TCTGGCAACTCTGTGCATGCGCACACTGGGAACAGGCTCCAGCTGTTTGTCTGCCTCACTGATGTCTGACTCTGAAGGCAGCTGATAACTGGCGTAGGGCTCTGGCCCCCTCTCTGCCTTCGACACTGGCGGGCCACAACAGGTGGGGTCAAGGAAAGAGGGTCTTCTCTGCTATTCGCCTCTGCTCTCTGGAACATCCCCCCCACCCCAAGGTGACACAGGGTCCCACTCTCCTGACTTTCTGGAAGGGAGTGAAATCATGGCTCTTTGCGGTTGTTTGGAGAGAACAGAAGACCACGCAGTCGTGAGACTGATTAGCGTCCCTGAACCTCGCCTTTTAATGAATTTTTAGCGTTTTTAAAAAATAATCCTTGCCTCTTCTTAAATTTTAAGTTTTATATATTGTTTTTATCCCAAAGGTGCTTTTTTCAAGAGGCAACTGGACTTTCTGCTTTTCCTTTAAAGACGTTTCGCTTCTCATCTAAGAGTTGTCCTTTGAGACAACCATGACCTGGATGACTGAGAATCTCCATAGACATATTGTTTTTTTATGTTTTCATATTTTATTGAACGCTATAAGGGTCCCTCTGTGAGAAAAACGGACTGTTTCAAACTCTGGTAAATAAAAATATAAAATGGAGTCTGATAGGACATGAGGTTGAGCGAAGGTTGAGAGAGCACTTCCTCTTATAGCTATGTCTAACCTGCTCCTGGGGAAATTCATTTTCTCATGGTATGTACTCTGTCACACTTTTACTGTAATCATTAATCAAAAATGGGAAGCTAATTTCATAAACACAAAGACTGATTAGTAAGACTGAGCAGGCTTATAATACAATGCAATACAATACAATAGCAGAGTTGGAAGGGACCTTGGAGGTCTTCTAGTCCAACCCCTTGCCAAGCAGGAAATCCTAGACCACTTCAGACAAATGGATATCCAACATCTTCTTAAAAACTTCCAGTATTGGAGCATTCACAACTTCTGGAGGCAAGCTGTTCCACTGATTAATTGTTCTAACTGTCAGGAAATTTCTCTTCAGTTCTAAGTTGCTTCTCTCCTTGATTAGATTCCACCCATTGCTTCTTGTCCTGAACCTCAGGTGCTTTGGAGAATAGCTTGACCCCTTCTTCTTTGTGGCAACCCCTGAAATATTGGAACATTGGTCTCATGTCTCCCCTAGTCCTTCTTTTCATTAAATTAGTCCTAC